CCCAAGATTTTTTAATATACGTCAAGCTGAGGATTTTTAGAGAATCCGGAAGGCTCCTTCGGGTTTCGCAGGTTGTTGGTTGCCTGGAAAACCAATAAAGGCTTAATTGAAAAATCGGCGCCGGTCAGTCGATGTAGTTAGGTGTCTAGTTTAAAATAAAACAAACCCGAACTCTCCAGCTTGAAGTATATTAAAAAATCTTGGGACGACGTTCAGAGTCCTTTTTGGACCTTGATCTCTGAAAAACTCCTAAACCGGAAGACTTAGAGGCGAAAAAATCTTTTCATTCCCGTAACTCATTGTGCCGAACATTTACGGAAAGTTTCGTCAAGATCGCATGTACGGTGCCGGAGATAATTTCTGAGGGGGTGGGGGCTTACTAGCCAAAGAAAAATGTAATTATTACGCACACTTTATTTCAGCAAATGAGCAACTACATATAGTATATTTTAGCTACAGGAATATCCTTTAGGGAAACTGGGAAAAACACGTATTGTACAAGAGAGCGAGAGAGAAAGAGAGAGGGAGAAGAATAGAAAGGAAAAATAGCCATCGAAGTGTGCAGAAGAGTGAATACATATAACAGAAAAACAGAAAGGGAAAATAAGCATCGAGTGAGGAGAACATGTGTATAGAAAGATAACTGCTGCTATGAGATTTGGTTTACACTTCCTAACAACAACATCTTGTAGACTTCAAAATTTTACATCTGCTCATATCGAAAAAGAGAATTTTTGTTCACAAAAAACCCGCCACAAAGAAGTATCATCTCTTCGGCCTACGATGATTTTGAATATGAGAAAGCAAGAAGAAACATGCGTATAGGAGCGAACATACCATCAGATACTCCGAGAATTTCTGCATCTTTTATTACTAAAATTAAATTTTTATGATTATCTAATCGAACGACAATTTGTTTTCAAAACTTTCTAATTTTTCAGTTCAGCAACTTAGTCTTTTATGGCTTTTAGTATTTCTAATGTTCCAAAAATTTGAGATCGGTTTCTTTGTTATTTGTTCCACACCTGATGATAACGGATGAAGACTATCATATGCTATTTATCTAAATCCAAATCAAGTATCAAATTTCGTTTCAATTAAACTTACTAGTGATTATAATTTTTCATTATAGCATGCACTCTAGGAAAAATTTTAATTGCATAAGTATCCAGGAAAAAAACATTATTTGAAGACCCGCTTTTTCGAGGATCTTAGAAAGCTTGCTCAAAATCCCGGAAAAACCACTTTTGTAACCAAAAGCAATACAGATTCTGGAAGTAGACACTTCAGGCTATCTTCTCATGCGCGTATCTCAAAACCGATTTTTTGACCGAAAATCACCATTTCTGAGGGGGTGGGGAGGGGCTTAGCCATTTGATGCAAAACTTCCAATGTTTTTCTTCCTTCTTTAGTTCGCTGTATAGTTTTCTTACCATTTTCATGCAGACTTCTTATTTAAGAATCTGACAAGACCCGGATAAGATTCTTACCAGAAATAACGACAAATGTTCGTCTAGGGTAATTGAGGATAGTATTGCTGTTAAAGGCAGTGAATAAGTAGCATCATAACGATGTGGTATTTGTTATTGTTAATAGGCAATTTAGATAATTTCGTTTATCGTTTTTACCAGTTGTTTAGTTTGACAGAACACGATTAGCATCTTCGTATCCAATATTGACAGATCCAGCAAGAAAAATAGCTGATGGAGTATCACGTAATTCACGATTAAATGGAGAGTCACATTGAAACACATGTCTGTCGTGTACAAAACAGCTAATTTCATTTTTCTTGCTTCCTGCACGTCAGTTTTTCATTTTCTGAAAAAATGGCAATGGCAGATCCATGGGAAAAAAATGTTTTCGTTGAGTTAAGGCAGCTGACGGCTCATATAATGCAGTTTTACGTTGAGATTTTGAGCTTGACATTTGTTTGATTTGAAACGGCTTTAGAAGAATTAAAAGCAGCCGAGACTCACCAAGAAAGTTCATCATTTTTTGAGTTGGATTAACAATCACTGGATTAACTAAACAAATCGGAAATTATAATTCGGCAAGAAAATATTGTTGAACAAAAAGGAGAACAGGTATTTATTCCTTCTCTTTATCATATCTGTTTACTGAGAGATTTTGAGCTCAAAAACTGAATTTTGTCAGCATCATTCGCAGGCCGGTGTTTATGTTGAGAAGCCGTTTTTTCTCAAAATCACCATGTTGGTCATGTGTAGAGAATAATAATTAGTTAACTATAGAAAAACAATAAAATCTTCTAATTGACGTTTTTCAGTAATCGGTTTGGTAAAAGTTTAGATGAGAGATAAAAGACAAAATCTTTTCGACCCATCTCGAACGATCAAAGGAAGTTTCTTAAAATGTTTTATTTGAGACTATTCTAGACTCGACTGCAAGCATTTTCTAGATACATATAAGTAGTTTGACTCGTTTATCTGGTCGAAAAACCTTTGTTATCTTCTACTTCCAATGGGGCAGGTATTTTCCATTTTTCATCGTTGTTCGATAAATTAGAAGCAAACGGAAAAAATTAATACAAAAGTTTACAGACTTTTTGAGTTCTAGTAAAACAAATACGTTTATCTTTGTTTAAATCACCTCCCCATTCAAGTACTTACTTGTTTCTTGGTTGTTCATGGGCTATGCGGGAAACTAATAATAAATTAAATTTATTAAACAACTGGATTGTTTGAAACACGTAGCGGTGGAGGCAACGGTAGTGAAAATAATGATCTCAAAGGATGAGAATATAAAACATAAAATGAGACTACTGTTGGCATCTTATTCTTGACAATGCTGAACAAAAGTTTGAGACGCTTTTGGTTTTTGTTGTTTTCTCTTCAACCGTTATAGCTGACCAGAGACAAAAACTGATTGAGTAGCTAACAGAGTCTCCCATCACATAAAGTATATGAAAATTCCATGAATATTTCTACAAACTAGGTCTCTGAAACACTAAGATTTTAGGAAACCCGAGAAAGTCACATTCTGGGATTGGAATAGAAAACTATTTATAAACAACTGAGTCAAACATTTTGAAGCAAATCTAGATGTTGGCAAGTTTACCATGACATTCATCCATCGCACAGCTCCAGTTTACGAAAGGCTCCTCCATTCAAATAGTATAAAAATGACTGCGAAAATGATAGAGGAAACCTTTCATAAATTGAATGTTGTTCGATGGATGAACGTCATGGAGAGGTCGGCAACATCTGGATTTGCTCCAAAATGTTTGACTCAGTTGTTAATAAATATAATTTTGTTATAATTGTTTATAAATTTCTATTCCAATCCCAGAACGTGACTTTCTCGGGTTTCCTAAAATCTTGGTGTTTCAGAGACCTAGTTTGTAGAAATATTCATGGAATTTGCATATACTTTATGTGATGGGAGACTCTGTTAGCTACTCAATCAGTTTTTGTCTTTGGTCTCGCTATAACGGTTGAAGAGAAAACAACGAAAACCAAAAGCGCCTCAAACTTTTGTTCTATACTTTACAGATTTTAGAAATTTTTATTGTCACTTTAATTTAAAAGTATTTTTTTCATTTCAGCAATGGATCTATCTATTCGATCAATCGATTAAACGTTTAGATGTCTTCGATTTATTTTTAAGTCAGTCGAGCAGTTTATCTCCTGATCTCAAGAACTATTTAATATATGAAAAAAAGTAAAGATTGATTGAATTCAGTGAAGAAAAAGTTATACTTTAAGTGTTGTATTTGGTAGTTGTGGCATAACTATTCGTTGTTTTTGTCTGACTAATATAGCAACAATAATATTGATTATTGTTTGACCTAATGCAATTAAATATAGAACGATCGAAAGTATTTTTAATACATAGGGCACTCTATCGCAATTGTTGTAATTATATTTAAAACATTGATCTTTACTGAAATGAATACTTGCATATACTAAACCTAATACAGAAAAACACATAGTAAGTGTTAATGTAATTAGTAATGAAAATAAATGGTAGACTGTACAACAACTTGTTATTAATAATGATAATGATGCGCCGATAAGCGTTGCACCAGCCGAAAATCCAGCCCATATATTTTCTTGTTTTAAAACTAAAAGACCAGTTTCAAATCCAATAGCGGCTAATCCTAATATTAGATAGAAAATACTGTTTATAATTAAAAATAATCGAAACCTTCTTGGTATTACTGTTGACATACATATATTCTGCATACATTGTGAAAAATACATTTTTATACTTTCTGAAATGTCTAAAACAAGACCATACAATAGGAATGATAATCTAGTTTTTTGCGCCAATAAGACAGAAACTTCTCAGCATAGATCTAACGGTTTTAATGTAAATCTTCTCTATGAATAATATACTCTATAACCTTTTGAGAGGCGCAGTAGTATAAAGTATCCAGTAAGGAATTTCAATAGTCTAACTTTAAGAAAATACACAAAAACTGGCATTTAAAGAGAACATTAGACAAGCGATCAAAATTCTGATGTGACTGACTTTACGCATGTTTTGGAGAATGGCGAGTTATGAATAATCTGAAAATATCTTTGTCTCATACATTTTTGTTCAGAATTTATATGTACTCATAAATCTCAATTTTTCATAATTATAATTTCAATTTTTTCAACAATTTCTATCAACAAATATGAACCAAACGAGTGGATGGCAATAAGAATGAACAAATATGCGATAGTTATTCTTACAGATAAATTAAGTTTACCTATAGAATATGGGATAATAACAGACTTTTACTTACACTTCTATGTGGTTTTTCTCACAAAAAAACAAATTTTTTATTTTCAGCTAACTATATAACATGCGCATTCAAATAAATAAAAGAGTTTGTGTTTTATAGGTTAGATTAATATCAATATTTTATCTATGCGTCATATAAATGTTATTTTCTATTTGTCTGCACTCTTATATTCACCTTGTTATTCATCTTAATTCTTGATAAAAAAATTTCTTTTTGTTTTTTCTTCCTCATTTCAAGCGTAATATACAAAAAGAAGAAATATCAAAATCTATATCACGGAATTCAAGTTTTCTTAGAAAAAAGTTTTTAAGTTACTTAGAGGTTTTTTTGTCCATTTTTTAAAATTTCTATAACACTTTTTTTTAGATGGAACGGTAATTCTTGCGCCAAGCACTCGGGCATCTCGAGATATACCCAGGAAAAAGTTTTCATTTTTTCATTTCTGATGCAGTTTGACTGAGATATTTGAGTTTGACTTGGCCGATTCACTCTCGTAGGAAAAATTATTTTTGGAAAACGTTGAGCATGATTTCATTTCAGGGAGGAATTTTGAAACAAAAGTTTCGTCACAAATATTGTTCAGAATCAAATTGTACATCAGATGGGCGGAGGAATTTTTGAAATTTTGAAAACACGATTTTAAATCTCAGAACATTGTTTTCAATCGTCGAATTTGGCGTAAATTTCTATTTAAAAGTCGAGATTTTAAAATTTCAAAACGTCCGCTCATCTGATGTATAATTTGATTCTGAACAATATTTGTGACGAAACTTTTGTTCCAAAATTCTTCCCTGAAAACGAAATCGTGCCCAAAGTTTTTCAGAAACACTTTATGCTACGAAAGTGAATAGGCCAAGTCAAACTCAAATATCTCAGTCAAACTGCGTCAGAAAATAATGAAAATGTTTTCATTATTTCATTGAGCATCTTATAACTTTGAAAAACGTTAAGTTAGTCATTAAACCCACAATTGCTCGATCAAAACTTAATAGAAAATACATGCGAAACCGTGCTTTCAGAATATGAAAAGTTAGAAAAACAGTCCATTGCCATACCAATTTCGAGTCCTTGAGAAACAAAGTCTTATAATCGTTGTGTGATGGTAGAAAAACGACATTTTAAATAGGTATTTCTCTTGCTGAAGTCATTGGTTCTGCATAGATCATTAGTGAGTGTGTAAGAGGTCGCGAAGCATTCTCAAAACGATAAGTCTTATCTACCTTGAAGAAATTTTAAAAAATTTTCCAAGAAATTAGTGCTTATATAGTATGTGCTTCTGCAAAATAAAACAGTATCTTGCTTCTAGCAAGAATTTCATAAAGAAGTGGTAAGAAAGTGCTAAGGGCGTCTTCTCAAAGTCATAGCTCATTCCTACTTTTTAAATCTTACGTGACTCTTATTGGAATCGTACGGGAAATCCGATTTTTCTCAGTGAGGGAATCATGTTTCTAAACTGACATGTGGCAAAAAAGAAAAATGAAAAAATAGACAGAGATAGCTAAAGATGATGCAATATATAGACCTAGAATAATAGTGATCACAACTAGACGAAAAAAACAATGAAAGAAATAAAATAGACGAAAAAGAAAAAGAAAATAGAGAGAGGAAAACGTGTACCACAGTCAGTATAATACTAAAAGATCACGCGCACAC